GATGAGAACCTATCCCTGTTGACGTCTACAGGGTCGGCGGGACCTAGATAAAGGTGAAGAAGGACCCAGCGATCCTGAAGGACTTCTTCCTCTTGTTCCCCCCTTTTTCCTTGGCTGTAACCCCTGCTTTCCCTTGGCCTATAAAAGGGAGAGCAGGCCATCCCATTAAGGGGCATCGGACCGAGCTGAACACATCCGAACTTGATTCGACTCGAATCGAATTAGAGCTCACCGCAACACACCACCAGAGACTTGGGACCAGTCCCTCCCTCGACCATTTGTAACCCCTACTATGAACTTTTCAGTGCTAGTAACATGAGCAACAGCAACAAACTGGATGTAGGGACATTCCGCTCGAACCAGTATAAACCATGTGTCCTCTTAACATACCATCCGGGCCAGACGCGTAACAATACAAATTTACTCATCGATGACAACTCGAAACACCGACACTTTTACTACTATAGAAAAGGTTTATAGCAATAGGACATTTTTTTGTAGGGGCGGCTGGTGATGGAGCCGCCCCTATAGTGGGCATGCTCGGGACCCACGAGACCAGCCGCCCCTACAAATGGTATAGTAAGGGCGGCTGGTGACATGAGCCGCCCCTACAAATGGGTCGATTTGTAGGGGCGGCTCAGTCACCAGCCGTCCCCACTGTTGCGATTTTTAGGGGAGGCTCAATCACTGTTGGTATTTCTTAATGTCTACAGAATTACCATTGTAGCTTTCACCCAAAAGTATTCAGGGTATCGTATTTCCGCAGGGAATGGAGGTATTTCTTCTAGCTAATTCGTCCAAGGACAACACAAGGGGTAAAGTTGGAAAAGGTAGGGATGGATTTCTATGTCTATTGGGTCTATGAGAAGATAAACTCTACTTATACTTGCTTACTTTGGGCACCGGTTTACACCTGGTCTACCAAGCGATACCGGCCTATGGCTCTACGTCGTACCCAAAAGTGGGGGATTACATGGGATAGATAGGGTTGTTACCACCTGCCACCTACCCCTCAACCGGGGCCATGAGGCAAATGAAGGTAGCCTCTAGCCTAGACACCTTGTCTACACTATCGACTACTACTCTAGCATTTGCTAGGAACATCCGTCTTTATCAGGAATCCTCTACCAGAGCATCCGCCATGGGGACGGACGATGAACCCGTAAACAAGTAAAAGTATAGCTTAACTACTCAAAGACTTTGAATCATAAGAATCATGAACACTTACTAAATACCCGTGGAGGTACAAAGCCGGTGTTTACCGAGGAACAAGCGGGGGAACGTTACCAACAAGCCTAACACTTCTTCCCCGAACTCTTCCCTCGCATCTCTCCCCATTTCTCTACTAGAGCTAGCTAGGGCATAAGCCCATTGAGTAGTATTGCCCTTGCTCTTGCTTTCGTGCTCTTCCTCTCTTGTGTGTTCTCCAAGTGAGGATAGGGGAGCCTCCTTTTATAGGTGGAGAGGAGGGGGCTCTTTGAATAATGCCTCATCCCCTCATGGAAAGTGCAAACCGACCTCAAGATACGTTGAACTTGGCCAAGAACCTACATAACCGTCATTGCAATGTCGGTGGGAAGCGACCTACCAAAAATGGGGCCAAAAGGGGCTGGTTGGGGTGCGGCTGCACCAGTACCGCCGCTGAGCCCAAACGCACCCATTTTTGGTGAGTGGGCTCCTTTGGGCTTCTTGACTTGGCCCATGGTGGTGCTCTATGAAGATAAGTTGATTTGATTTGGGTTTATCCTTGTTCTCCACTTGTTTGGTTCCTATTTTGCGTAGTTGTGGGCCTCTCTTCTCTTTTGCTATGCCTCTCTTCTCTTGGTCATATTTCCATGCTTTTCATATAAGTCATCCTGCGAAAGATAATTCACCAAAACTAGTGGAACTTGTGAGTTATAAGATCTAATTCTAAGTTTGGTGACCATTTATGCAGATTTTATGTGAGAATTGGCGATTAGAAATAGTAGTTAAGGACCGCCAACAATCACCAGGCTTCCCTACAAATGCTCCACGTATAAAAGGCTATATCCCCTTCTTCCTCCTCGGGTCACTCACTCTTACCTGAGACAAAAGGCTTGGGAGGCATTGGGCACCTCCCAAAAATTGCACTACTAAGAGGCGAGGTTTTAATCTCAAATCCTTTGGTGGAGAGGTTGTTGAAGGTAAGGGAATGCTATTCCAAGCTTTTTTTTAAGTTTTAATGGTTGGTTAGTGAGTAATTAGAGTTTTGCTTTTCTCCCTCTTCTATGGTGCTTGAGCTACTTATGAAGCAAATTAGACCCAAGTTTTGAATGTACTAGGGTAAATTAGGCAGGGGAATAAGGTTATACCCTTATTTGGTCAATGTTTCTTGATTTTAGTGAACAATTAGTTAGTTTTATGGATATTTCATGTGCATTTAGATCTAGATCTAGGGTTTGTTTTTTTATTAATTTCATTTTTGTAAATTTATGTTTGATGAAATTGGACTAGGGTTTGCATGAAAGATATTGGGTAAAATATTAATTGTTGATAATTGTTGTCTTTGAAATTGTTTATTGTAAACAATAAATATGTATTTTTAATTATTTATGGATAAATTGGCCATTAATTAATTATCCTCTACCATGGTGTGTTGGATATGCTTCATGTAATTATATTTGATTTATATTCATATATATCTGAAGTATATACAATTATTCTCATGTAATTATTAATTTGATTCATTTTTATATATATCTGACACTACAAACTTCTAACCCTTGCGCAACAACGAGAAAACATTGCAATAGGCCCAATTTTGTTGCAAAAGGTAGTTCATACCACAAAATCGCGTTCGTTTGCAATGGTTGCAAAAAGTCACGTTGCAATAAGAACTTGCAACCATTGCTAGTTTGGCGTTGTAAGAGTTAGCTTTTCTTGCAACGTTGCCAAGCATTGCAATAGGACGTTATCGCAACATTCATTGGCATGGCAATACGAGCACTTGCCACGTTCGTCTTCGTAGCGAGAGGTGGTAAATACAACGAGCGATAGCGTGGCAATAGATTTTTGTTGCCACACTATAATTTTGTTGCTTAAGGTGTTGTTGCCACGACCGTTGTGCCGTGGCAAGTAAATCATTTGCCACACAAATGTAATCGTTGCTAGAGAGTATACATTATTGCCACGCTTGTCTTGGCGTGGCAATAGTATCATTTGCCACGCAAATTTATCCGTTGTGAGATACCGTTCATTATTGCCACGTCCGTGTTGCCGTTGCAACAATATCATTTGCCACGCAATTTTATTCATTGCGATATACCGTTCATTATTGTCATGACCTCGGTGCCGTTGCAACAGTAGAATTTGCCATGCAATTTTATTCGTTGCGGAAGATTAATTGTTATTGCAACAATAGTCATGTCGTGGCAATAGTATTATTTGCAACGTAAATAAGTCTGTTGCCATACAGCATATTGCCACGCATCACGGCTCGTAGGTATAGCTTTTATTGCAATGCTAGTAACATTTAATTTTGGTTTAATAAATCATCATTGCAAATCAATAAACCATATCAAAAGCAATTGCACCCACATATATTAATTATAATTAATCATTCAATATGTTGCCAAACCCATGAAATAGTAGCTAAAATCATAAACGAGTGTACAATTAACTCATTATTTGACAACTTTTTACAAACTTCCTAACATCTATGCAGCACTTGAGAAATTCCTAGCAGCCCAACATGTCATCTCCTCGGCTATGTCCTCGCTTGATTATGAGCCTCCCACTGAAACCTTGTCCACCTACTGCCAAAAGAATATGATTGGGATATTAGAACAATATTAAGTTTACTAATTTTTGCACAAATGTAAAGAGATGAAGATATAAAAATGGTTCTAATTTCTAATTTCATATACAAAAGCCATCAACCAAGCTTTTGCATAGTTGAAATTCTACTGCAATTCTGCAAATGAGCAAATGTTGTCGGTCTAGTTGCTGCAATTCCTTTTTCCATGAAAAAGATGGAAGTCATGTTCCATTGTTCCAGAACCACAAACGTATGAATCAATTTCTAGTTTTACTCAAATTCTTACTGTATGCTTATTACAATTATGTTTTTCCATGAAAATAGCAGTCTGTGTTTTCACAATAACTTGATATTTTGTTCTCTACTTTCTCAATCTTTATTTTGGTCTCTGTATATCCCTCTCTTTTTAGAGTTTAAATGTTGTTCAAGATGTCAGCAATCCTTACTCCTTGGAAGCGTAGATGGCTGGGAATTTTAGCAAAATTTCATTGTAAGTATAGGTCGATTATATAAGTTCAATTGACTTTACAAATGATAATCTATATTTTTTTTGTAGGCTACATACTGAAGGCATGGTTCTATTGGGTAATACAAGTTTTTGTAGCAGTCTAGTAGACACATGCAGCTGTGTTCCATTTGATTGCATTATAAGATGTATGCATTCTCTTTTGCTCTTTATAAATTCTGCTAAAAGAACCAGAGTCTATCAGCAAGCCTTGGGGAGGGATGGAGAAGAAAATACGGCTTTGATCCTATCCATCGTGGCCTTTTCAACGGATCAGATGCAGCTACTGCATATGTTATAGTAGCAGTTGCCTTCTCTGAATTTTTAAGGCAACAGCAGTTTAGTTGATTAGAAAAATCATAACTTGAGTTGTAGACAACAAAAAATTATATTCTTTAACAATACGGAAAGCATATGAAATTCTCTACATCTTTCTAGTTATTTGTTAAATAAGATTCTGCAGTTATCATGGTCAAAAAACACAAACACCCACTGCTGTCCAGACCAAGGTCAAAACCTGACCGACTACTTTCAAAATTCATAACTCTAATTCTCTAGGTCTAAAATCATGACCTTTCACGACGACAAACATCTCTAAACCCTCTACAACTTTTGTATTATCAAGTATCACAGAAAAGGTAGATTACTACTCAGAATAACTCACCCAATCAAACCTGCACAAGCTGCAGTTTTCAGCACGCATGTTCAATGTATTTTCTACATTTCCTAGTTCAACAAGGAAGGTCACATTTGATAAAATTTCATTAAATCATGCAAGAATTTAGATTCCAATTAGCTGGTTGTTACCTTCCTCCTTTTGGGATTATTTCTTGTCCTATTCATCAGCTGCTGTGAAGTGATATATGTCTTCGATGCAGTCACATTTGCAGTGTTTTTGTTGAAAAGAGCTCTGCTAGGAGGTGCAGTACTTCTAGTGGAGCGAGTAGGTGCTGGTGCACCTTTTTGTATGGTGACAATGCTTCCAGGCTGAGTCTACAAACATCAAGTTGTTTGATCTATTTTAGATACAGTTCAAGGTACATGGAACATAGTGAAATAATGTCATTACCTCCTGTAACCCATCTTCATTTTCATTTTCATGTCCACCGGTCTCATCTTCCTCTTCTATGATTGGTGCAACTTGTGTACTGGCATTGTTTTGCAGGGTACTCTATACATACAAATATTGGGGGTGAAAGATTAGGCATCACAATCATAAGATTATCAAGAGTACAAAGGATAAAAAATTATTCTAATACCATAATCATAGCTCCTTCTTTGTGCTGTGCAAGCATATTAAGAAATTCTTGCTTCATTTCTTCTCTTAAGTTTATCTTAGCATTTTCCAGCTCCTCTTGCATCCTCCTCCTATTTTCTTCTTTCTCCCTTTCCCTTTCTGCAGCTTCTTGCGCAATCTGTTCTTTGAGCTTGTCAACCTCCGCTTCTAAAGCAATGCTCTTCTCCCTAGCTGCAGCTTGAGCACGTGCATGTACTTCAAGGTTCTCTTTCATAAGTTCTTTGCAAGTTCGATACGTAGCCAAATATCCATGCCCATGTAATTTGGATGATTTGATTTGTGTTGTTTCTTTGTAGCATGACTGGAAAATCATGTTCTCCTCAACAGTTGTAAGTGCTGGTCTATCAGGTTCTAATCCAATCTCACCAATTTTCATGGTTGCAATTTCCTAAATTAAATAACAGAACCTGTAAAGAGTTGCTTGACACTACCAGCAGCTATAAAAAAGGTTGACGAAACATTTACTTACATATACTGAAGCTGATACAGGATTTGACCATGCGCCATGTTTTCTGTGAGTGGTCCTCCAAAGAAGAAGATCACTTGGCTCTTCACCAGTTTCTTGGTCTCTCTAGGATGCCAAAAAAATCAGCACACAAGTATTGCATCATACAAGGGAAGGACTAGATTAGTGTATCTAATGATTACCAGCTCCAAGCTACATTGTGAGAAGTTCTTTGAACCCATCACATGCTTGGTTCTTTGCTGCTGATGGTTGGAGGAGTTCTGGCTGCTAAGTTTCTGCAGAATGAGAACAAGTGGAATGTAACAATGCAACTTTGGTCCATCAGTTTTGTTTGACAAAGTAGATTTTACTAGCACTGACCTTGAATTTATCAGATCCAAAATACAACTGCAAGTAGTGTCACTCAAAAAGGTGTATTTCTTTGGGTTTATTTCGTATCCTCTCACCATAACTATTATAAGCCTTGTATGTGGCACCCAGATCAGATCGCCATCCTCTGTACCGCTCCTTCGCAATTTTCCATATTTTCTCTTTTCTTTTATCCACATCATCAATGTTGATGAAGTTCCACCTAAGTTGTTTACAATTAAAAAGCAATGAAATGTTTTATCAGAACTAGTATAATGCCCGTGCTAACGCTAAGGTGGCGTGTAGAAAAAATAAATCATAAAAATTAAAAAAATTCATGCTAGTGCAACAGTACTAATCATCCAGTGCAACAGTACTAATCCTAGTTGGAGAGCCTGAAATAAACTTATTTAATGAAACATACTACATGACAAAGCTAAATCATCCACTTCGCTTCACACATCCAATTTGTCAAACAAATGATCAAACACTATCCTAAAGTCATAGAAATAACTCTCCTTTGAGAGGTTAACTGAACATGCCTTTTTTCTGTATACAATGGGAAGGGTTTACAGAATATGCTTTCAGCTGAAATCTAAACTAAAAGGCACAATGGCTGGGCATGAAGCAACATGAGGAAAGAAACAATCAAGAAAAGAAATCTAATAGCATCTGAGGGATAAATTCATTAGGTTAGTACAATGACATTAGCATAAATCAACATGTCAACATCACAATTTCTACATCTGTACACTCACTTTTTTGGACAGTAAAAGAGCAACAGCAATGTTCCTTAACAAAAAATAGTACACATCATACCAGTATCTCTTCTGCAATTTCTAGTTTGACTTCTTCCTTTATATCCTTCCAACTGTTTACTCCAATTAGTGGGGCCCATTGCCTTGTAAATATAACGACCTCATCGACAAATGCACGGGTATTCGGTCCAATGGGTCCTCCACGGCTTTCTGAAAATTTGATTGGGAGTGTGTGAATGCGTTCCTTAACTCTCTTGTTGCCTACTGTTAATCCTTTAAGAGTGCCACGACCTCTTTTCTTGCGTTCATTGGAGCCATGTCCTTGCAAAAAAGACAATAACAATCTTGAGCTGTAGTAGTTCTCAATTAAGATATGTGAACCCAATATTAAAAGTACATGCATTATCACAAACCGTTTCCCTCGTCTCTTGCCTTCTTTGCATGGCTTGGCCTATTTGAGGGTGGTGTCGCATTGCTTCCATTGCTTTCGTCGTCTTCGTCTACGATTGCATCGGTGTCACGTTGCTCGACAAATGCCACTGCACACAAGGTTAAAGGTTCAGTTTTAAAAAACTTAGTACTAAACAACATTGGTTGAAGAAGGAAAATAAATTACTAATTTCTAGAATGTCCCCTTTCATCCTTAAAAATTCCTTGTACGTGTTGACTGCTTGTTGCCTAGTGTCATCCTTCAAATCTGTTAGTCACCAAAAAAATGTAAGATGAGGTGTAGTTTATATAAGATTTTGCTTAATACGAAAACATATGCAAAAACATAGATGATATACTTTTGGATTGTTCCGGTCGTAGCTTCTTTAGCCAGTCCTTGTATGCATCAAAAGGATCATCCATAAACGGATGCTCATCTTCTTCCAGCTGCTGCCTTGGTCGCTTGAGGGGTGTTATGCTGACTTGCTGTGCTGTCTCTTGTTCCTTTGAGAGTACTAATCTGATTTCCTTCTCACTCTCATTGTCTTGTAGCATAATCTCTGCATGTCTGACAAAATCGAGGGGCTGAAGACTTGCAACATCTCTTCCACAACGCTTCTTGTAGTACAAGAAGTCCCGGGCATTATACCCAAGCTGGTCCTTAAGAGATGTCAAGGTTGACAATTTTATATGAGGCCTTTCCAATTTGAACATTACATAATCCTGATCTAGAAGTCCATTCATGCAATGAACATAAAGAGTCCACATTTCGCCCATGCCACTGCATAAATAGGACAATGGTTGATAAATAAACAAGAATAAAAAGGTAAAGTATTACATATATATAAGTAATTGAACTAAATATCATTGAATTCAGGATTCTATTTTAGATGATTTCTGTAATCCCATTATAGAGTAGGCACATGCAACATGAGAAATTCAATGCCTGATGCAGAAAAAAGGTTAACTACATCCATACATTTTTGTGTAGTTAAACATTGATATTTAAGCATAGAAAACGATCTCAGACTTTGTATTCCTGAATCGAAACAGACAGGTTTACTTTCTGTAATTTCAGACAAGCAAAACAAATACCAAGCAATTGCCTTTTCTTAAACATCTTTTTTTTTACTGGAGGCAGCAGTAGTAATATATAATAATAATGTTATAGTAGACCATCCAGAAGAGATAGAACCAGTAAGTCAGAAATTTGTTTTATGAAGAAAATATTAAACCTGTGTTCTAACACATTGGATGATTGGATAGCTAGATCTTCAATGAATTTGACTTAACTGTAGATGCAGTAACATATCTTTGCATTTACCAACATTGAAGAGCTTGACAGATTAATTTCAGGGCTGCGATAGACACATATCTTTATATTGAAAAACAAATAAGTATGGAATCACATAAACAACATGGAGCCACTACTACAGAATGGACTTGTTGTCCCGGACGGTAACGGCCTTTAGTCCCGGTTACCGTGCCGGGACAACGATCCCGGGACTAAAGGTGCCACATTTAGTCCCGGGTCATCGAGCCGGGACTAAAGATGGACCTTTAGTCCCGGTTGGTGTTACCAACCGGGACTAAAGGCCCTCCACCGAAACAAGCGTGGCGCAAGATTTTTTAGTCCCGGTTGGTAACCTCAACCGGGACTAAAGGTTCCTTTTCTTTTTCTTTTTTTTGTTTAATTTGTTTTCAGTTCAGTTACACGTATTTGTTTAATATATAATATGTTTTTATGTACGTATTCTACGCTGGTAATATAAATACACGCACGCATATAATTACATCTAATTCTCATCTCGAGCATTATTATATTCGAATAAAGTATGAACCTATATATATTATAGATATATATATGTATATATACAACACTTTCATAATCTTGTTCTCGAAAATAATGATATCAATAAACATTTAATTTACACCATTTATTCCTTAGGATCAAAGTAGAACTCGCCGTTGGGATTTAGCACTTTTTCTAGAAGAAATCCTGCTATTGACTCTTGAACTGCTTTCAGATGGTCTTTTTGCATGACCCTTCGTTTCAACCATTCAGTCTTGCATTTGAAATAAAAGGAAAAGTATTAATACATATATATATATTCATTTAAAAATAAATAAAAAATTGATATATACGTACTATGAGGACAGCTTTAGGAGTTCTTCTTATGTGCGCAGTGATAAATTCACAAACGTAGTATCCACACAAGTTATTACCTGTTGTTGCCATAAACACCATCGTATTTGAGAAGAAGATTTTCTCATCATCTCACGTAAATTGAAGTACGATATAGTAATTAAACACGTGGGGAAGTGTATATAGTACAACTTACTTGTATTTCAACTACATTAAGTGGTGCCTTCCAATCTCTTGCGATGTTGTTTAATAAACTCTTTCCAAACCCCGTATGCGACCAATAATGTACGATCGTTAATAAATTATGGCAAAGTCTATTCAATAATAGTTAAAGCGAGAGATCAAAATTACCCTGAATAATGTCTATCATATCTTGGTATAGTGTCCGCTCTTTTCTCAACGAGTCAAAGATTACTAACCGACTTGAGTTTAACTCAATGACAATGAGTATCCAAAGTGAAAACTCGCATTGGTTTATACACACACGTACATGCATATAAGTTGTATTGATATTACATAAAATGTGTAGACTACATTATTATTAACACTTACTCAAAGTTGTACGGGAAAAGTATTGTTGTCTTGTCGTGTACGCTTCACGAAGAACATCATGATATTCTCTCCGTGCTTCAGATACCCACCGCTCCTTGATAATAATACCGGTTTTGAATACGATATAAGGATCAATGAAGCCAACACCGGTGTCTTGTATTCTTTGGAGCTCGACATCCGGAATCAGTATATAAATATAAGTTACATGTGAGGATAATTATATACACGCACGCATGGAAGTGAGTTTATTAAATAAAAGTAAGAATCACTTACAAACAAAAGGAGCTAATGATTGATTTGTCCGAGAGCGTCCAAGTGGTATAGTTGATGCAATTCTTGAAACTAATATGTAAGATGTCATCACC